TATACAGTATGTAGGAATTCTAATGCACGGCAGCGGAAGCAATGTTACTGTGTTTATGGCGTCCATTTTAAGGAATATTAGGACACCAGAATGATTGAATATTTTAAGGTATTTGAATTAGGATGAGGTCGTGTATGACATACAAAAGAGAGTAAGTTTCTTTATTATCAACCACATAATGTATTGATGAAGTGTTCCGCCAGCCTCAGATGGTTCAAGCGCAGTGTAATGCTTGTTGAAGTTATCAACAACTTTCACTTTTACTCATGTAGTTACAATATTACTGATCACAGGAAGTTTAAACAAAGGAGCTTCTTTGAAATAAACACCTGACAGCTTTGTCAGCAATCCTTTGTCAAATTCCCTTACAGGTTACCAGTACTGTTTAGGCGCATGGGAAACTACAGTACATTCTACGGCCTACGTACACCTTATGCCTTCATTGTCCATATTCATGCTGAACTGTGTACCTGTATTGTCTTTTCAATTATAAACCTGCAAGGCAGTTTTATAGCTTTACTGAATAATAATAATAATAATAATAATAGACTTACAGGTGATAGTATTAAAAAAAATTTCTGATCGTCCGATCAGCGAAGTTAAGCAACGTTGGGTGTGGCTAGTACTTGGATGGGTGACCGCGTGGTAACACTAGACGCTGCTAACATAAGGACCTTACTGGAGATAGTATCTTATGGCCTTTTCGGCTGCCCTTGGCCAACTTGACTAGATATCATTTATTTATATTTTTATTAGTATTAGTACTGTACTATTATTATCATCTTTGGCACGGTGAGATCTGATCAAGGTTCATAGCATTGGTTTCGGTTTGATGTGTCAGGATAAGTCGGGTCGAATATGTGTGGGTTCAGATCCTGTCTGAATTTGGAGTAGCGAAGTATCATAAAGATGGAAATGAGGTGAGGTTGTGTGGCCAATAAGAATGCGTTTCCGATCGTTGCGTCAAGACACGAAGTCGTTTTACTGCCGTCCCCCCTCGCTTCTCTCTTTGTGTATCCAGTTTTCTGTTATTAAGTGTTACGACTAAAAATTCCGATATACCTATAAGAGATCCAGGGCTCAGATTCACTAAGGTTCTTTTGATGACTGTTGTGTTAACTAACGATTATATGAATGCACCTAACTGGTTGACCTAAGCACAAAACTAATGTATAGAAACAACATCACAATTATACCGAGATTCTTCCTTAATTAGATACAGGGAAAAGTTACTCTCGATCAATTTTGTAAACTAACAGGTGTTAAGGTGTCGAGTTAAGGTAACCCTGATGTAATTATGCCGTTTTTATAAGATATCTTTGTGGCTTAACTTTTCTTAGGCTGTTAACCGTATTATATCTTCACGTCCACCCACCAAAAAAAGTCGTGTTAGTTCTCTCTTCTAGCCATGAACCCTGAGACTCATGAACCTGTGAATCCGAGATATGACACAGTGCACCATCTATGGGCCCAACAATGTACGTGGTCTCGGATTCATAGGTTTGTGAGTCTCAAGGTTCATGGATGGGACGGAGGACTGACTGTACAAGGAATATTCATCTTAATGTATTATGTGAGTCTGGACCCTGTACTTGCAACTTCACTGTATATAATATTAGCTTCAACGCAAGTGCCATATACCATGTAACGTCACTTGCTTCGCGTGTCCCCTCATGACGTCACTAACTTCACGTGTTCACCTGTATTAATAAGTCCTGTCCCCTCATGACGTCACTAACTTTACGTGTTCACCTGTATTAATGAGTCTTGTCCCCTCATGACGTCACTAACTTCACGTGTTCACCTGTATTAATGAGTGCACCCCCCCCCCCTCCTCCAGGTTCCCCATGGAGCTTCACTTGGTGCACTACAAGGGGGCGTACGGTAGCCTGGCCCAAGCTATCAATCGACAGGACGGTCTGGCTGTGCTCGGCGTCATGCTGGAGGTGTCTAAGACCGACAACCCCGCCCTCACCCCCCTCGCCACCGCCCTCAGAAACATTACTGATTCTGGTAAGTCTTCCTTCATCATCTTCCTCCCCCTCCTCCGTCTTTCTCATCCTTTCTTGTCTTCTTCCTCCTTCATCTTCCTCCTTACCACCTTCACCACCCTCAAGTCTTTCTTCACCTTCACTGCCCTCCCACATCCTCACTACACTCCGTCATCCCCACCTTCCTCTCTCACTCTCACCTTCCTCCCTCACCCTCACTTTCCTCCCTCACCCTCACATCCTCATCCCCTTCATCATCTTCTCTTTCACCACCCTTATGATCTCCCTCACTTTCCTCCCACCTAACAAATTCACTACTTGGCGTGACTCATACATTACCCACCTTCCGTTATTTACACACACACACTGACTTGGTATCTCTTCTTCAGGTATGTACGCGCAGGTGCACGCTAACTACCCTCTGAAGGCCTTCCTGCCCAACAACCTGGAGAAGTTCTACAGGTACCAGGGCTCCCTCACCACACCCACCTGTAACGAGGTCGTCACCTGGACCGTTTTCGCCAACGCTATCCCCATCTCCGAGGCTCAGGTACCTATGTCTCCTCCTTCCTCTCCTTCGGTAATATCGGTCTCAATCATTACACCGTCAGTATACAAATAAATTCACCTGACTTTCGATCGATCGTAGTTTGAACGACTTCCCTGGGGTAAGGATTTTCTCTTCCTTGCTGCACAATGAAGTCGAGCATTTGTGATTGACCAATAGTTCTAGAGGGAATTTTTTAGACGGTGTTGTGCCGAGATCTCGTGATAACTTGACCCGAACCTTGTGTGACGACCTACCTGCTGCACACAGCCATCAATGATGTTACCAGTGTGGGTCAACAAGCTCGGTTAGGTGTTAATGTTTTTCATTCTTACTCTCGGTGACTGGTCTTGGTCTCTTTTTGTCGTGTCATGTCTCATTTCCTCTTAACGTGTATAGTGAGTAGTAATTATACCAGCTTTTGGGGGACTTAGTGTTGGGTCACTCAGGGACACTGCCACACTGGAAGCTATTAGTTGCTCTGAGGTACTCGTGTCTTCCATGCTGGTTACTACACTTTGGTTTACATCAAAGAAAATGCTAGTAACTGGAAATGTAATTTATGGTTTTTCATTCCAAACTAGCTGCTATTGACAACAAAACGGAAACGCAAATTGAATTTGCAGACTATTATTGCAAATGACTTATGATAGATTATAGAGATGTAACTGGACAAGCAAGATGACCGACCATTTCGTCAGCTGTTGTGTCGTACATAGTGAGGGGTGTGGAGGAGAGACGTACAGCAGCTATACCGCTGGTATAAACCTCATACAGGTGTAGAGAGACGGACAAAAAACTACACATTGCTGTACTGTGTTTCCGAGTCAATGAACACCAAAAATACGTCATTTCATAATATGTCGACTTTTACAGAAGACATAACGTAAATACATCATTGTCACAGAAGAAAGCAAAGGTACAAGCCAGGATCCAGACGCAGTGCCAAAAAATGAAGAAGAGTCATTGCATGAGACCGTGAGAGAAGCTACAGATACACACACTAACACAGTAAGAGGCACACCACTGTTCCCTCAATATTGACAAGAAAGTGCAACTTGAAGCAATGAATAGCCTGGTAAGCGGAGCATCTCTTAGAGTTCGCTAGATGTGTGTTTTAGTCCTTTGTGTGTATATATATATATATATATATATATATATATATATATATATATATATATATATATATATATATATATATATATATATATATATATATATATATATATATATGTATATATATATACATACACACGTATGTGTGTGGTACACAGCACAAGGCGAACCACACAAGATTGCACGTGCTTAGTGGTACTGTGAGGTACTGTATACAACATCGGGAACACTGTACAACAAGGCACAAGTGTAGTGGTAGTAGTAGTGGTGGTGGAACTCTTGTAGAACAACAGTGAGCATACAGGACCACAACACTACAGCGGCAGCAGCAACAACTGTTACATCGATTCAATATCAGGTGGGTCACATATTCACATGGTCACTAACAAAAGTCCTTAACTCTCCCTCATAGTAATGTTCGCATGTGCTATTAGTAAACCTATAAACACTACTACTAACAAGGTTTAATTATACAAGTGTACGAGTTTTACCCCGTTTTCTGTCTGTTGTCCCGTCTCTTTTTTCCCTTTTTTCTGTCTGAATTTGCACTATTTTCTCAGTTTTGTTGAGCTATGCCTTGTATGCTGTGTTGTTTTGTGAGTATGTTTATATTGGTGTTCGTTTTGCTCCCGTAGCTTTTTCTTCTCACTTCTCTGCATGTCTCTCGATATTTCCTCACTGATCCTTATCCAGTGACATACAGTACACCTACGCACGAGTAATGACCCACAAGACTTACACTGTTGGGAAAGTGCCATAAACAGCACCACTAAGCCACCTGCTTATTATGACACGAAAACTAACTTAACCAAACTTAAGCTAACGATCTAAGGGTAGTTTTGGTTGGTTCGTATTATTTCCTTTTAGAAAATCGATCAGTGGCTTAGCAGTGTTTGTGGCGCCTTTCAAGAAGTTATAATAAAACCGGTAATGATTGTCTCTACTCAGTGACTGTGACTGACTTACCACCAGTTTATAATGTAGGAGTTGTTATGTTTTGATAATGATGTTTTTTTGTCCCATTTCAGTGTACATTATTTTTTTTTCTCAATACTTTAACACACACACACACACACACACACACACAGCGGACTTTCCTTCTTTCACTGTCCAGTTATTCACTCTTACTGCTGCAACAGACGTGTTCTATCACCATACTCTCTTCCTCAACAAAGCTCCCAAATGCCTCCTATCTTACTCAACTCTGTCAGGCCAGTCTCACCCATTAGCAGCGAGTCCTTCCCCAAAAGTCATAACCTAACCTAACCTACCCAGCGTATCAGTAACCAAAAGCTGCATCACGTGGATATCATTTCATTGTTATTATTGGACCGATTTTTTTTTCAGTAAAGGTTAGGTTTGGATAGGGTAGGTTAGGTTAGGTTAGGTTCGGTTCAGTAAGCTTGAATTTAGCCTCACTAGATTGAGTTTTCGCGCTTAAAAATACTTAGGTTTCTATTTTATGTTTTGGTATATGTAGGTTAGGTTAGGTTAGGATAGGATATGCCAGCAAATATGTTCAGAGTTTATGAAAAATGTGATATATTATAGGTTCCTTTAAGTTACCAGTTATGTTACCTTAGTTGAGGAGAGAGTTCGATAAATTAAAAGCATAATTTGTCTTTATTAAACATTATAGTGGAGGATTTCTTGACCAGTAGCGGTAAAGAAATTAAAAGTATCAGTGGAACGGTCGCTGGTACTGTGATAATATTGTTTTACTTAAGTACAGTAATGAAGGAATTATTGATAGTATTTGAGGGCTTAAGACAATTACCGAAGGAACACTTTACTTAGAATATGAAGGAGAAAAGGGAGAAGAGGAAGGAGAGTGTAGGAAGGGATGGGTTGTGTGGGGGTTGGGGAAGGAGGATTAAAAAAGGGAATGAAAATTGGCTTGAAGGTGGAGGGGGGGATAGTTTGGTAGTGGTGTGGAAGGGAGAGGCGGGGGAAGGAAGGAGGAAAGGCAGAGGCAGGGGGAGGAGTGGGAGAGGCAGGGAGAGGAAAGGCAGAAGCAGAGGGAGGAAGGAAGAGCAAGAGCCAGGGGGAGGGAGGGGATGGGCTGGGGTCGGTGTCGGCCAACATCATGGCACAGTGAGATTTATAGCAAATATGGCGGCAGTAATTGGGCCATGACGACGTCCTCTCTTAATTTCTTCTCGCTCTTCTCCCCTCTCTCCTCCCTTCTCCCCGCTCTCGCAACGTGGGTGTCTCCTCCTCTCCCACACCCCCTGCAGTGCTATATGTCTTTATCACAGCTGCTCTGCCTCGTTCGTGAGACACTTGCTTGTTCGCGTAGTAACAGCAACGTGAATCCGGATGCTGATACGACCGCTCGCTTATCAAGGGTAGGAGGGTGGGTGTCTGAGTGTAGATCCTCAGAAGGTCGTATAATGAATCATCCTGGTAACTGAACATCTTAAGAATGCCCATAACTGGTTCACGTAAGCTAAAATACAAAAATAACTATCAGTAATAACTACAGAATTATACTCGGATTCAACCTAAAAGATACGTTCACTTGCCACCAGTTAAGGGACAAGACTGGTTATCTACGTTAGTGTTGAGTGAATGTATCTTGCTTCTGTACGTTAGTTTCATGTGATGTTAAGTGAATGTATCTTCTTGTTTCTGTAATTTACATTTGTGTGGGGATAAGTTAACCTTTTCACCGCGTGTCAAGCAGTTGGCATTTTATTCTGGCTCTCGCCAGGCGATTTTATTCAGCTTAGGGTAACCTCTCGCTGTGAAAGGGTTAAGGTAGAGACTCCGAATACTTTTAATGTTACTTTTTGACATTATTTTTGTGTATCAAGTTCAGCTAACTAGTTAGGTGCATTCTTACACCTCCAGTCATGATAAGATATTTATCATGCGAGTCTTTGAGAAGTTGGACACTAATCCGCCTGTGTTGACGGTGTGACTCATCAAGCCTTCATTCCAAGGTCCGGTTGAATATATTATGTTTGGAGTAAGATTTATTGTATTTAAAGGGATTTTAAATATTATAAATAGACGTATTATAACTTCAAATAAGAGCTCATGTACTATATAAGCTAGGGCGACCATTAATTAAGACAGGCCAGGAAGAATGTTTACTCGCTGGTGATGCTAAACGCAACTCTAAACAAATTGATCCTTTCGAGTGGTGAAGATCTCTTGGGAAGGCACCTGATAAATACACTACATACAATTGTCTTAAGAAATCCTTTAAATAACATTGATTATTTACATCTGGATTACAACACAACAATGCATATTCTTGCATTACCTTTACCCCACACCTCCATAACACACCATCTTGCATGACCTAAAGTTTGCATGTTTATAGTTTGGTCTGTGAATATATTTATGAGAGAGAGAGAGAGAGAGAGAGAGAGAGAGAGAGAGAGAGAGAGAGAGAGAGCACCATCTTGAGTGAAGAGAGAGAACCCCCATCCTAAGAGAGGAAAGAAAGAAAGATAGAGAGATAAAGTAAGAGACTATCACCAAACAGGAGACAAAATCATTAGCATAACTTTGATGTTTCAGCTCACGCAGTTCCGAGAACTACACGAAGATCCGGTTCACTACTTAGTCAACAACTACCGCCCCCTTCAGCCCAGGGAGACCAGGGAGATTTACGCCAACCACCGTTACCTGCCCCGCCGCGTCATTGCCTGCACCAACCAAACCCACCACCTCTTCTGATCTCCTCCTTTTCCGACCCCGCCCCCGTCTACCCCCATGTTTCTTTCTGTCTAAACTTATTTCACCTTATGTAGTGTTTTAATTCATCCCGTCTAATGTTTAGTTTTTGCTGTATATGAATCTGTCTCATCCTGACGTGTTTCACTGCCTGAATCTGCCTCACCCTTTCTAGGTTTGGTTCATTGTGTTTAACCCAT